AAGTGCTAAAAGTATAAAAATCTGAATGTGAGTAAGAAATACCAAACTCAGAAGTTATTATCACAAGAGAAGGAGGAAGGGCTGGCAGGTGACTTCACTGTGTCATAGTTAGCTCTTTTGTTTGTTTTATTTTAATTTTTGAATTTTGAAATAAAAGTAGAAATAAAAACATCTCAAGCAGCTGTGTCAGAATGTTGAAATGGTACTGCATGGTGATGGATTTATAGGTTTTCCAGCATTATTCCCCACACTTTTCTATATGTTTAAAGTTTATCATTCTTTAAAGTAATAAAAGAAAGACTGGTTTTGCTAAACATTGTTAATTAATCAGCGGGAAATTTTTCTATATGTTTAAAGTTCCAGCATTATTCCCCACACTTTTCTATATGTTTAAAGTTTATCATTCTTTAAAGTAATAAAAGAAAGACTGGTTTTGCTAAACATTGTTAATTAATCAGCGGGAAATTAACTAAACTTTCATTGAACTGTAAATCCACCAAAAAGCTTTCTAACCCTAATGTCATAATAGTTCAGTCATTGGATCAACTGTCTTAGAAGAAGACATGACTAACCCCATGGTTTGTCATACATCATTATCTGGACTCAGTTGATCCCCACCTTAGTCAGTTTATCGTCTCTTATCGAGAATTCTTGTAGGATTTCTATAAGAAATTTTTTTTTCCTTTTGAGATTTATTAGGAGAAATCACACGTCGACTTACCCTTCCTAACAATTTTTGAGTGTTTGATATTATTAACTATATACACACTGATGTGCAAGAAACTGCTAGAACTTTTTCATCTTGCATGACTAAAACTATACCCATTGAACAACAACACACCATTTCCTCCTGCACCAGCTCTTGGCAACAATTCTACTTTGTTTCTACGAATTTGATTACTTTAGATACCTCATATAATTGAACCATGCCACATTTGTCTTATTGTGACTGGCTTCTTTAACTTAGCAAAATGTCTTCAAAGTTTATTCATGTTGTAGCACGTGGCAGGGTTTCTTTATTTTTTAAGGCTGAATAATATTCCATTGTATTTATATGCCACATTTTCTTTATCTATTCATTTGTTGATGGATATTTAGGTTGCTTCCACCTCTTGGGGGGAATTTCTCTCTTCCTCTTCTTGTAAAAGCACTAATCCCATCATGAGGGCCCCACCCTCATGAACTCATCTAACCCTAATTACTTCCCCAAAGCTCCATCTCCAAATATTATCACACCAGGAATTAGAATTTCAACATATGAATTTTGGAGGAGCAAAATCCAGTCATAGCACCCATTTTTTAACTGAGTTTTTTTGTTCTTGAGTTGTAGGAGTTCTTTAGATATTCTAGGTATTAACCCTTTATCAGATATATGGTTTGTAAATATTTTCTCTCATTCTGTAGGTCGCCTTTTGACTCCATTGATTGTTTCTTTTGGTGCTCAGAAGTTTTTAGGCTTTACATAGTCCTCTTTGTCTATTTTTGCTTTTGTCACTTATGCCTTTGATGTCATTTCCAAGAAATCACAGCCAAATTCGATTTCTTGAAGCTTTCCCCCATGTCTTTTTCTTGGAGTTTTATACTTTTGGGTGTTAGATTAAGGTCTTTAATCTATTTTGATGTTATTCTTGTATATAGTGTGAGATAAGGGTCAATCTCCATTCTTTTGCATATGGTGATCCAGTTTTCCCCATACCGTCTCTTGAAGAGACTGTCCTTTCCTTCATTGTGTGGTTTTGTTTAGCATTTTTTCATGAAAGTTAAGCCAATTCATTTTTTAAAAAATAAATGTAATAGAAACCTTGTGAACACAAGATGAAGCAGAGATGAGGTTTTGTGTTCTTTTCTTTGTTTTTTGGTGGGTGACCATTTACCCCAGTTGGTGAGAGTGTGGTGTTAACACCAAGATACAGGGTTCTATCTTACTTAAGTAGAATTGGTACAGGAACCAGTTAATTCAATTCCAAAGTTAAATATTCCTTCAAGGCTATGGCAGTTTGCAACTCTTAGCATCACTTTCTGAGTTGTCTGCATACATTTATACCAACTGTTTCTTCTCTTCCCAACCTCACTGTTCATTTTCTAGATGTGTTTTGTACCCTCTGTGCTTTTCTACATTTCTCCTTCCATCAAATGTCTACTAGTTCATAGAAGATCCCCTCTTTTTCTCTATAATCCCCTACCTCCTTCTTTCACAGACCTTGTTGAGTCTCCGGCTAGTATTCCAAAATATTCTCCCTCCCTCACTCTCATGTATATAGAGAAAGTTGAAAGAAAAAAGCCTTAAGACATGGGTTCTAGTCCTGGAGTCACTACTTAATCAGGCCTTTCCCTTTCTCTCTGGTATTCAGACACTTCAGGGTTTTCAAGGGACTGTTGAACAAAACTCCTACATGTGAAAACAGGTTGCAAGCCCTAAGAAACTAAATAAATGTATGTTGGTTTTTAATATGTGACTCTCACATTAAAGGGAATGTCCAGGGCACTGTTAAGTAATGAATCTTGTTTGAAGAAATTGTCGGGAACAACAGATTCACTGAACACAAGTGACTCAGAGAAGGCCCAGAGACGAGTGTCCCCTCCTGCAGAAGCAAGTGCCTCCAGACGGCACTCTAGACAAAAATTGGGTAAGAGAAAATAAGTTGGGGACTTTAGCCCCTCTAGGTCCTTTGGAAAGGTTGATGAGTATGGTCTAGATATGTGGGATAGACTTTCAATAGGCCTGCACTTAAGCTGGACTATGCTGAGACCAGAAGTTAGATACTGTATTGACTAGCATGTAAGGACACCAACTCTGAAGTCACACACTTGTTATAATCCACGCAGAATCATCAGGGCCTTGGGCAGACATTATAAATTCTCTGCACTCCTTAATGCTAATCTGTAAAATGAAGATAAACACATATAGCTCATATATTGTTTAAAAGCATTAAATTAAATATAAAAGAACTGATACATGCAAAGTGTTCAAGAAATCCATCTGTGATAACAGAGACCACATTTCCTTATTGTACATCCACGCCTTTGTTCAATGCCTAATATGTAATGCACCCTCAACAAATATTTTGTGAATAAATAAATGCATGAATTAACTGTTTTGTAAGTAGAAAGTTTGGGAGGTTAAATCTGATCATGGGAACCCAGAAACTAAAATTGAATTATGCATCTGTAGTCAGTGTGGAGTCTTAGTCTCTCTGAAATAATAGTTAAGAGGTACTGAAGGGGTGGGGAGCCAGAGTATGTAGAAGGATAGATGATAATTTGACGGTAAGAGATTTCACATTTTCTGACAAAACAGGAACAAACACTCCAGACTCCTAACTTCACTCACCTACTCTTCTCCAATGTAGAACTCAAGAGAAAGGAGATTGAAGTGAAGACGTATAGCCTGTGAGAAAGGAAGAGTCATGCATACAAAGAGGTCGATGAGCCTCAGGATGATGACTACCTGTGTAAGTGACCCTTTTGGCCCACTCATGGAGAAGGCTATGTCCCAGTACAATAATTTTCTCTTGTTGTTTGACCCCAAATTATTCCTTTACTCTGGTGGCTTGGAATACAGGATTGAGGCTAAATTATGTAACTGCTGGGCTCTTTCTGAAGCTCTTTATATCCAGGAACATGCACTATATTTTTCCAAATCCCTGCTGCTCTCACCTCCAGATTGTGAGAAATGCCAGAACTTCTTCATTGACAGCTGTGCGGCCCATGGACCCCCTACATTTGTAAAGGACAGTGCAGTGGACAAGGGGCATCCCAACCGCTCAGACCTCACTTTGCCCCCTGGGCTGAGAATTGGGCCATCGGGCATCCCCGAGGCCAGGCTTGGGGTATGGAATGAGGCATCCGATCTGCCCTTGGATCTGCACTTTGGCCACTTTGAGGGCCAGATCACAGAAGATGAAGAGGCAGCAAACAGTGGATACTCCTGGCTGGTGAGAAGGACCAATCTTACCCCATCTTCTGGCTTCCTATATCCCTTCTCTGCCTTTGGTGGGACATCACCTTCTACATGCTAGAACATGGATAGTGACAGCATGGTCAGCTCTGTGTACTTAGTGGTCTTTGCATGAACCTGGAACTACTATTTAAAGGTCAGAGGGTGAGACAAAAACGTGCATTCTCCCTGTGGGGCCTCAGCTCTGACTGGACAAATCAACTCAGACGTGTAGATGATGCTGAGGAGCACAGCATGTGTCACCATTGGCGGCTGAATCCATGCAGACTCAAATGCATCGATGACAGTACAATAAAATAATTCTGATTATTACCTGCCCCTCAACCCCCAAAATGACTAACTTATTTTTCTGAAACTCAGATCACCAAGGGGAGAAACTGCTATGAGTATGTGGATGGAAAGGACCAATCTCGGGCCAACTGGATGAGGTAAGGCCAGTAGGTTTCGGGTTCCAGCAAGGACACTCATCTCTCTCGAGCTCGGCTTCTTTCCTTCTCAGCTTGCCCCCCTCAATGGTTTTTACATTCTCTGTTCTCCTTACAATGTTCTTTCATATTATGAACATCTAGGAAAAAAGAGATAAAATATAAATATTACCATTTTTTTTTTCCTTTTTGTCTTTTTTCATGTCCGGCAATGGATCGCAACCCTCAGTGTCACGTCCACACCGGACTGGAACCGGCAACGGGATCGCAACCCTCATTGCTGCACCCACACCTTGCCCAGCCAGTGAGCGGGAACCAGTCTGTATGTGGGATCCGAACCCTCGGCGGGAGCACCACCGTGCTCCCAAGCGGTGCACTGTAGCAGTGTGCCACCGGGCCGGCCCTATATTACCATTTTTATATGATAAAACTAAATCTCTATGATAGACAAAATTGGAGCACCAGGATAAACCCTTGAGGAGCCTAGATTCATTGGGGATGCTGGATTCACACTATAATTTATCTAATCAGCATTTATTAATCACTAACTTTATTCTTGTTTAGAAACTGGAGTACATCACATGAACAGATCACACATCCCATGCCCTTGTGGAGGACTATTGAGGGCAGACGTGAAACATTTGATTATAGGAGAAGTACACAATGCCAAGACAACCTACAACAAGGGACCTTTAATCTGTGAGGGCAGGAAATCTTGGCAGCTTCAGTGAAATTAAAACCTGAAGCCTCAGAAGGGAGCTGCAGGGTTGTCACGGGCCTCTGTGCTGCATGGACCAGCTCTTTCCATGAGGGGCTCTCATTTTATTAGAAGATAAGAATGTGAACATGCTGTTATTATTCTGTATTATTATCATGCTAGGACAAAGAGACCTCTAAGTTTCTATGGGAACCCAGGGAGGCAGGTAAACTATGGGAGATTAGAGAAAGGTCTCTCAAAAGGAGATAGACTTGGGCTGAGTATAGAATGACGTGTGCTAATCCAGAAGGGGAGTACATGATTGATCAAACACGAAATTCTGTGGTATAAGCAGAAATCGACTGAGAGTTTAGAGAAGTGAGAAATCAGTGTTTTATGGCCAATCAAGGTGGAAGTAAGTCTGGAATGGGGCTTTGAAGAATGGTTAAGTAGGTAAGGGGGGAAAAGCATTCCAGGCGGGATGAGCACCATAAACAGGACTTGGAGAAAGAGGCTTAGGTATGAACAGCAGGTTCCTGGAGGAGGGTGGCGGCATGGCCCGTCACAGCATGGGGGCCTTGACCATCTGGTGACAAGCCCAACACGGCCCTGACATAGAGAAGTGAGAAGTCAGTGTTTTATGGCCAATCAAGGTGGAGGTAAGTCTGGAATGGGGCTTTGAAGAATGGTTAAGTAGGCAAGGGGGGAAAAGCATTCCAGGCGGGATGAGCACCATAAACAGGACTTGGAGAAAGAGGCTTAGGTATGAACAGCAGGTTCCTGGAGGAGGGTGGCGGCATGGGCAGTCACAGCATTGGGGCCTTGACCATCTGGTGACAAGCCCAACATGGCCCTGACATGTAGTGGAGACTCACTGCCTGTTATTTTCTGTCCCTTTGTCTGCCTCAACCCCAGGTATGTGAACTGTGCCCGGGATGATGAGGAGCAGAACCTGGTGGCCTTTCAATACCGTAGGCAGATCTTCTATCGAACTTGCCAGGTCATCAGGCCGGGCTGTGAACTGCTGGTCTGGTATGGGGACGAATATGGCCAGGAGCTGGGTATCAAGTGGGGCAGCAAGTGGAAGAAAGAGCTCACGGCAGGGAGAGGTGGGCATCACTATTATTCTTTAAAAAGGACAGAAAAGGAAGAATTCTCCTTGGGAATTTTCATGGTACAACTCTTAAGTAGAGTAAAATGCAGTCTAAAGTCAGAAACATTTCAAATCAGGTGCTTCTGAAATTAAGGATTCGTTTCATTTGCCTTTGACTCTTAGGGACAATTGATATTTTAAAATTTTTGTTCTGATTTTATATTTTAACTTCTTTATATGAAAAATATATAACAACATACAGTCCTGACAGGCTTAGAGACAAAGAACAAGTTCTCAAGCACCTACCAGCTCTTTCATCAAGGCAGCTTCTTCTGGCTCTTTTGTTTCTTAATTTCTTCCATATTTCTAAATAACATGCATATGTTGTTATTCATTCACTCATTATTTCAATTAGTCGTCATGTGAATTCCTACTCTGTGACAGACAATGCTCCAGGAACAGGAAATACACACAGAACAAGATGATCAGAATAAGTGCTGTTGAGCAGCTGATGTGTGAATTAGGGAAACACGCAGACACGCACAGCCATGTGCATAGCAGACAGTGATTCGTGCTTTCAAGAAAGCTAATCCAGAAAAGTGCCTAGAGATCATCATGAGGGGAGGGAGGGTGTGGCAGGGGATGGTCAGGGAAGGTTGCTCTCAGGACATAACATTTGAGAGGTGCAGAGTTGTGGGCAAAGGACTCTAGGCAGAGGGAGCAGCTCGTGCAACAGCCCTGAGGCAGGAGAGAGCGAGGGTGTTTGAGGAATGGCTGAGACCACCCAGGTGAAGGAAGAAGAGAAGGGAGCAGAGGTCAGCGAGATACACAGAAGCCTGGACATGTAGCCCCCATGATTCCTGCCAGGAAACTGGGGATTTTCCTGAGATGAAAAAAATTGTGCAGTTTTGGTTACTTTTCAGAAAATAAACTGCAGTGGGTAATCCCCTCAGAGGCTACTTTAGTCTCCAGGTAAGAGAGGATGGTGGGTTGGATAAAGGTGGGATTCAGGAGGTAAGAAGTCTGATTAGGGATATAATTAAAACAGAACTTCCTATTAAATTTGAAATGGTCTAAGACTGAATGAAATAACTCAAGTAGGATAATTTGGTGTGTCACCCAAGGAAGGACATATTTTCATTTTATGATTCGTAGACACAGAGAGAAGCAATCCATAATCTAGTTTAGGCAGCAGGAACCAGAGTCCTTTACTCAAGGGGGCCTGGACCACTCTGAATCCCCCTTCCTGATGGAGAAATAGGTACACAAGAGTCCTCAATTAAATGTCTTTGACTGGGGAGACTCAAATTCAGGTGTACTTACACATGCTCTTTAACCACTACTCTACACTGCCTNAACAATTCTACTTTGTTTCTATGAATTTGATTACTTTAGATACCTCATATAAGTGAACCATGCCACATTTGCCTTATCGTGACTGGCTTCTTTAACTTAGCAAAATGTCTTCAAGGTTTATCCATGTTGTAGCACGTGGCAGGGTTTCTTTATTTTTTAAGGCTTAATAATAGTCCATGGTATTTATATACCACATTTTCTTTATCTGTTCATTTGTTGATGGATATTTAGGGTGCTTCC